CGCTCCCTGGAGTGGTGCAGTGGGCTGGGGAGAGGCAGGGGGGCTGGAACACTGGGGGGGGGTGCTGAGAGCCACTGAACCAAGCCTGGGGTGCTGCAAACCCCCTCCCCCAGCAGCCTTAGTTCCAGCCCCAGGGGGAGAAGGGAGTGAACTATCAGAGGGATCTCTCCCCACCCTCCTCCCTCTCCAGGGACACTTACAGCATCTACTGGCCACCATCAAGGGGCCCTGGGCTGCATGGGACCTTTGCCAGGGTCCTTTACATGCTCCCTAGAAGTTACCAGCAGCTCGGCTCCTCGCTGTCGCACAGGGAGCTCCTCCTGGCTATTGCCATTTCTGCGGGGCAGGGGAAGGGCCCCAGCTTTGGTGCCACAGGGCCCCACGTCCTGCAAGACCAGCACTCACTAGGAAATGGGCAGCCGGCCTCCCCTACTGGAGGGGGGAAAATAGGTCACAGCCAGAGACAGGGAGACCGTGCCGTCTGCACATGTGCGATGTCGTCACTGGCAGAGGGGAGGATCTGCACATCGTATCTGCATGCCGGATACGAGCGTGAGCTTGGCCACTGAGTCAGTCATGGACCAGCAGCCGGAGAGCAAGCGAATTAGAAACAGGAACGGTTATACCCACCAGGCCAGTGAGCCATCTCTCTAGCGCAGGGGTGGCCAGTAACAGATTCTTCAGGAAGGCGGAGGCCTCCAAACGGAGTAAGCTGCCCACAAAAGAAGTTTCTGCCTGCCCCTTGGTGTCTGGCATATGCCATGAAGCTAGAGGCGTTTATCCTTTCCACGCTCGACTCTTCTAGACTACTGTAGCCTGTCGTGTGCCGCTCCCGCCCCCACCGCAAGTTTCACCTCACTTAAAGCCACTTGCTTCCAAAATCAGACTTGATACAAAAGTCTCACAGCACACTGACTGAAAAATGACTGACTCTCATTTTTAACATTATAGACCAATCCAGACTACAAATACTGTACTGACATTTGTCTATGGTATCCAGAGCAGCATAAACAAGTCACTGGCTGCATGAAATGGTAGTTTGTACTGATTTTGCTAGTGTGTTTACGGAGCCTGCTGTAAAACTAGGCAAATATCTAGATGAGCTGACGTGATTCCACAGGGACCCGGACCCCTAGTTGATATAAAGCAGTGTATTTCTTTTGGCCTAACAACTGTGATGCTCTCTCCTTTTCTATATATAAATCTAATCCTGTGTTTGAGTCTTGCTAAGTTTTGGCCTCCATGATCTCTCGGGGCAGTGAGTTCCACAAATTAATTGTGTGTTGTGTAAACTGTTATTAGCTTTTGATCTGCTGCTGTTCAGTTTCACTGCCTATCTCCTGGTTCTTGCACTATGGGTAGAGCTGCAGGCGTGTCTCAGCATTTAATTAAAAAAAAAAATCAGAGCCATTCTAGTAAGTGTCATAAGTCACACAGGTTCAGTGACTGCTCTGCGAGAGCAAGAGTACCCTGGGGGCTGGAGGGAGCACTGACTAAGCATGACAGAACCCTCCACCCCAGCATCACAACATTAAACTCGGCCTGAGGGGAAAGGCTGGAGACGGAGCGACCCCACACTCATCCCAGGAGTGGTAGCTTCCGGGCTTGAGATGGGGCATACTCTGCACTCACCTCCAGCCCGAGATATTCCTGCACCCCACAGGGCAAGGCCCAGCACCCTACTCTGGGTATTGCAGCCTGGCATGCCAGGTAACAGCATTGCCATTATGACAAAAGGGCATCTCAGCCAAATAAGAACGGCCACACTGGGCCAGACCAGCTCTAGCCCTGTGTCTCATCTGCCCACAGCGGCCAGTGCCAGGTGCCCCAGAGGGAGTGAACAGAACAGGGCGACCTCCCCTGTCGCCCATTAGCCTCTGTTTGCTGGAAGCGGGGAGGGCCACCATCCCTGCCCACCCTGGCTAATAGCCATTGATGGACCCTACATACCTGGTCCCAGCGCCCAGAGCAGGGAGTGTGACCCAGCCCTGGGTCTGGCTCTCCTCTGTTTCTGCTACATCCTTCAGCTACCACAGTGCACCCCCCCCAGCTTTATGTACAGGGATATATCCTGACTCCTTGTGGAGTCCCATGGAAAGCCCTTGCACTCCCAAAGCACTCATTGTGAAATATCCATTTACTGATCTTATCTGATCCAGGTCATAACATCTGGATTGCACGCTACATCAAAGCTCATGGCACCGACTTCCCCCCCCCCAGGGTGGGGGGGCAAGTTCCCTCTCATCCTAGACTCCACCCCCACCCCATCCCTTCCCTCAAACTCCCGCCCCAGCCCCATTCCACCAAGCTCCAGTCCCGGAGCACCTATAGAGTCAGTCCACCCCTATGGCAGAGCTAACCCTCATTAACTACAGTCTCTGCCTTTCCCTGCCAAACACGCCATGACTTGGAGGCCTCTTAGAAGAGCCCGCTCCGAAAGCAGATGCTGTTTACAGTCTCGCAGCAAGTTAGAACTCAGGACAGAGTTAGGAGACCTTCATTACATTGCCAGCTCCACCTCTGGCTTGCCCAGCGTCCCGCAGCAATGCGCTGAGCCGCTCTGTGCCCTGGTTTCACCATCTGTGCACAGTGACAATACTTGGCACGGAAACTGGATTTTGCATCCACAGATCTTAAAGCACTTTCACGAAACGGACAGAGGCCTTTAGCCTCATGACACAGATGGGCAATGGCCAGTTACCTGTCAGTTCGGACATTGACAAACACTTTGCAAGCAGTAAATGCTATTTCAATACTTAAAAGAAAGCTCTGAATAAAGGTGGGCTCTCCCTATCTAACACTGCGCCTCCCAGGAGCCCAAGCAGACACCTAAATCCCCTCAACCCAAAAAAGAAGGAACCCATATCCCTCCTCTTTAAGGTTAACAGAAACAGTATGTCCTCAGCTGGTCACTTTATCTGGTTGCCCTCCCTTAGGAGCTGACTGTAAACAAGTCTGCTTTATACAGACAGCCAAGTGTAAGAAGATCTTACCCGCGTGCTAATACCCTATTCCCAGAGTACTGGGTGGAGGGGGGCTTTGTCATACTGGGATAATACCCCACACCAGCAGCTCATCACATGTTCCAATTGCTGGGTATTTTTATCCTCTTGTTGTGGAAATGTTATAGGGACACCGTAATCCACAGGGCCAGTATTTCCAAAGACCAGTCAACAGGAAACCAATTCCCTCTCCAATGCTGCACTGAAGGAAGAAGAAACACCTCTACAAGAGACACTCAGGTAAAACACACTGCCCTTGGGATGCTACAACAGCAAAACAACGGGATGCTCCCAAACAGAACCCACCCCAGGATATGCCACTAGCAGAACGTTCATGGAACAGGACTGTAAGTCAAGTTCCAAGACAGAATCGTCCTCAAAGCTAATCAGAACGATGAAACAGAGAGAGTCTTGCAGCATATCGCAGAGCGAGCGCCAGCCCCACGATACAAGGCACTTCCCCTGCAGCAAGATCTGCTCTGCACCATCCAATCTGAATAGTCTGGCAACATTTTAAGTGTCGGGAGAAGATCTGGGAAAAGTCTCTCCCCTCCCCTCACAACTGGCTGCCTAACGCCATTGTACTGTCTGCTTCCCACAGGATATCAGCAGGAGAGTCAAACCGCCAGCCTGTCTCGGGCGAATTCCAATTACAGTGTCTGCCAAGAACCGCACAGCAAAACACACCTGACCGAAAAAGCTTTTAAGTCCCTCTGTGACCACACAGCTGAATGAGGTGCAAGGCTCCAGACAGAGAAAAACGATCCCTTAGATACTCCTCAGTATCAAGCCTCCATGGTTTGTTTGTAGCTTCACATCAGCCACATGTACTGACTTGTGCATCATTTGGGGGACAGAGGGAGGTACGAAATGCATGCTCACCTGGAGCGGATGGGTTGGGAGGCAGGATTTCCTAGCACTGCAAGTCATCGGTGCTGAACATAAATGGGGAGTCGGGGTGGGGAAAACTGGGAAAGAACAGGGTCCTAAAGAAAGTCACAGAGCATCTTCTGGGTACAGTTGTAAAGAAAAACTGAGGTGTGAATCAGGATTCTTAGTGAAAAATGGAACAGATGTGGGGAGAAAACATGCACTAGACTATGTAGAAAACAAAGAAAAGGTTAGGCATCAAGAAACCAGCAATGATACCAACCTACAAGCCACACTAATCAGCTGTAGGATTCTTCCTATAACCTCCTCTAACGCCAGCTTCCTAAATACACCCCACCCCCGCCACACACACACACACACACTCACTCTTTATATTTACATAGAATGTGGCATCAAAAAATCTCCAGGTACATTACCCCCATTCTAAAAGGGAATCACCCCAGGTACAGGGAAGGATGGCCTTGTGGTGAAGCCACAGGATGGGAGCGAGATCTGAATTTCTCTCTCAACTCTGTCACAGACTGTGTTGACCATGGGCAAGTCACTTCTTCAATGCCGCAGTTCCCAATTGTAAATAGGGGCTATGATACACCTCTCTCACGCGACTGATAAGAAGCTAGATTTCTGAACATGTGTGTCAAGTGTTTTGAGATCCTCAGATGGAAGCTTTATCATAAATTATTTACTTGTCCAGGATCACACAGAACGTAACAACTGAAAATACAAAGCATCTCTTACTCTCAGGGCTCGTCTCAGCAATCGATCCACGGGCAGTCAATTTATTGCGTCTGTTTAGACGTGATAAATCAACCTCCGAGCACTCTCTTATCAACCCCAGCACTCCAACAGGAAAATAAGAGCATCAGCTTCCACCTTTACTGCATGGAAGACATGGCGGTAAGTCAGTCTAAATTACATAAGAACAGCAAGACTGGGTCAGACCAAAGGTCCATCCAGCCCAGTGTCCTGTCTGCCGACAGTGGCCAACGCCAGATGCCCCAGAGGGAGGGAACACAACAGGAATCCTCACGTGATCCCTCCCCGGTCTCCTGTTTCCAGACAAACAGAGGCCAGGGACACCATTCCTACCCATCCTGGCTACTAGCCATTGATGGACCTAACCTCCATGAATCTATCTAGCTCTTTTTTGAGCCCTGTTAAAGTCCTAGCCTTCACCACATCCTCTGGCAAGTTGCATAGCTTAGATCAGTGGTCCCCAACGTTGCGTGGCTGCCGGGCACCCGGGGGCGCGCGCCGGGGGCTGGCACCATGTTGGGGACCATTGGGTTAGCTACTGGCATACTGGGAAATTGTTAAAAATTAGTTGAAAGGACACATGGGAATGAGGCTTCATGTTATCAAGACCTGTCAGCTGCTCAGAGGACTGTTTTGTGCAGAGTGGCCAAATTCTAATGAATCTCTTGGTTCTCTAGGGGTGATGACCCTGAAGTTGCCCACACTGAAGAGAAGAAGTGGGGGTATTGACCCTGCCATTAAAGAGCGCATTTGGCTGACTGTTCATTGGCCCTGTGGTCATCCCACAGAGATTGTATCCAGCTGCTTTGGGTGAGCAGGTTTTACATTCTGCAGACTTGGACGTTTTAGTTGCTAGCCAAAAAATCATTGAGTAGGAAACTCTGCCTTCTGTGTGCTGGGGAAGAAGGCACTTCAGTGCCCTGCTCTAAACACTAGGTAATACTGCCTGACTTAGGTCTCTTAGCCTTTGGTCTTACCCACAGCAGGAGCCCTTTCTAGTGGGCAGGGGAAGGGGCTCACACTCAGGTAAGTTGCTCCATGCAGGTTTCCAGGGACACACTGCATAGTACCAGATCTGAAGCAGGATGTACCACTTTCCTCTCCTGGGTGAACACTTTCACATCAGAGACATTTATGCTGTTCCCTGCCTGGAGCTGTGCTGAAGTCCCATGACAGAAGCTCAGGACAGCCTCAACAGCTGTCCACAGAATTCCCCTGCTTCTGATTGCAAAGAGCTGCCCCTAAGCTTCACCACAGGATTAAGGATCAGGACGGTTTGAACCTCCCTATGCCTACTCTCCACCATCTATAATAGGTTGTCCAAGCGGCAGCAGTTTAGGAGAGAGGCTGTAACATCCATGCCAACATTTTCCACCGGAATTCATCACTAGAAGCAATACAATACAGCCACGGGGAAGCAAAGCCAGAATGTGCCTTGACAAAGAACACTAATGGAAACAGCGTAGCAGGTGCTGAGGAGTCAAACACATGGCTGTGTCATAGCAACTAAGAGAATACATTTGGATGGGAAAAAAAAGCCATTTTCCAATTCACTCTCCTCCCCACTCTATGTTGACAACCAAGCTGTAAACATTATTTGGACAAACTCCAGAGCCAAGTAATCTACCACCCACATGACTCATGGGCTGTTACCCAATACTGGGAAATCGACAGAAGGTGCTATTGTCTCATTCCCATAAATGCAAATCTCCACTCAAACTGAATTACTGACTAGCCACCCGACTGCAGACCAAGACACAGCCCCGCCCCCCTCCAGAACATCCAACCTCACTATTCAGTCCAGTGCCACGCAGCTCATCGATTCCTAGGGAATCGGCTATTCAGAAGTGCAGAGCACACCCGCTTTCAGTGGGCATTGCAGAAGGTACGCACACACAACGTCACACTCCAACCGTTCCCTTTCTTTGGAACACATCTTTCCTAAAAGGTGCTGCCTACCTCTTTGGTCAAGTCTCCATTCACTGGAGGAGCCACTGCTCCTAGGTCTTCCAATTCTTCACCAAATCCTTGCTCAGCTCCGCTCTCCCTCATGCCATTGTCAGGATTGGTCCCATCTTGCAGGCCACTGCCATTCTCAAGGGTGATGGCTGGGCTGGGCTGGGCATTGGACACAGAACCCTCCGGGTCTCTATGCACCAACCAGGCATTTACTTCGGTGGTGGGCACCTGGAACCTGTCCAGGGCCCTCACCTGGTTGAGGAGCCTGCGGGCTGTGAAGTAATAGTCCAGGTCTACACTTTTTGGATGGATGCCATATCCGTCCAAGGTGTTCCGCAGGTTGTGGAACTGCGTCTGGGTGTAAGCAGAGCTCTGGCCCAGAATGATTTCCCTCAGAGGGGGAAGCTGCGAGTTCAGGTAGGTATCCACGTCCACACGAACACCTATCAAGCTGAGTAGAATGGTGAATTGAATGAGCCCTTCAGTGAAATATTTCTTCAGAGAAAGCATTTCTGGAAGAGGAAAAAAAGCAAACATGGGTGGGGAAACACAGCAAAAACCGAGAGCTCAAAGTATCCTCATTCACCAAGAGGGAAAGTTTTAGAAAAATTCAAAGCTTCAGTTTTAGGTTCTCTTTTTTAATCCCCCAATTGTTCCAAAATCAGGTTACTCGGGAGAGCCAAATTACCTATCTACAATCTCCAGAGGAAAGAACTTATACCCCAGTAAACAAAGTCCCTCTCCAGCACGCTCCCCTCCTCTTCAGAGCTATTGCTGTTTGATAACAGTCCACGAGGTTACATATAAACCCATGTGACTTACTGTCTCAAAAGTCCACATGCAGTCACTTCCTCTCGCCTTCCTGATTCACCACTCTGCTTCCAGAGCAGGGTGTGTTCTCTAGCACAAGTAGCTGCTGCTTCTCCCTCTCCTCTGGGTTTGAGAAGCTTCCTGAAGGAAGCTTGAAGAGTCAAAGATTTGGAGCAAGGAAGGGTTCAGCGACTCCTCCAGTCCTGGCTGTGGTTTCATCAGAAGCTGAAATAGAACCACAGAACAAACACGATAAGACGCTGACGAGACCTCACCCTACACATTACACATGCAGTTGCTATACTGGGAAGCATCAGTTTCACCGCTGTATATAAGCCATGTACAAAATAAAATCGACTGCCCTCCAAAGAATGGCTTGCTGATGAAATATCCACAAAACAGGGGCTATCTTTTGAGTTAATGTTGTACGAGTTCCCCTCTCTGCTCTATTCTTAGGCTGGTGCGTCAGCTTCCACTCTCTGAAGCAGGAATTCAGCTCTGACTCCCTTTCACTCCAGTTTTCAGTGAGCTTCCAATCAGGGCTTTATGCAGCAAATAAGCGGCCGTGACCACTGCACAAGCAAATGTAAGCAACCCCAGGGCTCGCTACCTGCCTATGCAGTCCTTTCTCCTCTGCCTGCCACCACTCACAAAGGAGCTTTAAAGAAACAAAACAAAACATGCTTATGATGCATTTATTCCACAATGTGACCTTCCTGGGCAATTCACCACACACCAAGCGTCCCAATTGAGGAGAGTGCAATTTTGCAGTGAAATTTACACCCCTCCTCCACCATCTGTTCTTTCAAACACCTGTCCCACTTCAATGTATTTTGAGGATGTCACAGGGTACATCCCTATTTTTCACCTCCACCCAGTGTCCCTGTTTTTTTATAGGTTTCAAAGGTTGCCAGGTGTGGACTCAACAGCTTCTGAGCACTGTTTGTGGATGGATTTCTGTTCTCAAACTCCCAATATTGGCAAGAGTGGGAGGAGTGTTTCAAGTAACCCCTAATCCCCAAATCTCAGCTGTCCCTTCTGTTGTTATCCGCAACTAAGTAACCCCTCAAAGCAAAACAAGCACAATTTCAATTCCTTCCCGCCTACCTCATTTGTTAAGAGTCAACCAATACTTAGGTTGGGCAGAATTCTTCTTTTACAATTTCAACATCAATTGTATTTTTAGCATTTTTTTCAATTTTTAATCATTTAAATTTTTACAGTTATGGAAAATTATGCAGGCCAGATAATTATTTAATGACAGTGGAAGTTGAGATTCAAAACAAAGTTAATGCTTAATAAACATTAAAACCCAAATTATCAACATCACATGCCAAAATATGCAAAGTCAATATCCTTAAATCAAAGTAATACATTTTCACAAACTGTCTGTTGATTATCATTGATGGAAATATTTTCTCATCAGTTTGTGTGTATACAGAAAACTCAATATGTACTGATGTTCATGGATAAAAATCTACTTCTAACGAGCCTACATATAATTACAGACCAATTTTCTAATTTATCAACTCTCTCACTTGTCAGATCTCAATTAATCCAGCAGCCAAACTATTTCCTTTTGTACTGGGAAACTTTTTAGGATGTAGTCACTCAGAAATTGAAAGGAACAAGGAGTCCCTGCCCACCAAATTTTAGATTCCTCCCAGACCTTTAATTCCAGCATCTAGATCACTGTGCTTTTCATTTCCTCAAACAATTTGATCCTCTCTACATCTTCCCAAAGAGCACCCCAATCCTCATGGGAACAACAGGAATTCCCCCAGTGCTGAACACTACTGCAAAATGCATGAGAAGATAGGGGGCTGCCCGCTATTATTTAAATAGCACAATGGGGTGCCAGTTGCTAAAAACCCATCCACTGTACAGTCTGTTAAGTCCCTTTCGTCCCATCCACCCCAAAAATATCACTGCTTAACAAATTCTATTCTACTGTACATCATGTCCTGCATGCCCCTTAATCTCCTACACTCTCTAATTCACCTCCCACCCGTTGTCTGAACCCCAAGACAACCCCGTCCCTCAAACCCATTAGGGTAAACACCCTCCCTCGCACTTCCCATTTGGAATCTATGGGGTGGAAGGGAACTTCCCCCCCAACACTATTCTTGGGCTTTCAATCCTCCTCCCTAAACCTTTTACCCACATTTCACAGGAGATGTGAACCAGCAGAGGGGTGGGTAGAGGAGAATCTTCCTATAGCCCCCCAAATGCTAGTCTCCCCTTAAGCTCCAATTTTCCCATATGCACACACACTCAAATACATACCTCCCACCTGTCTTCACCCCAACTCTCCCTTACCCCCAGCTACCCACTACACCCGGCTCCCTCCTCCCCCCACCCCTCACTT